TAGATTATTGTTATGTTAAAAACTTGTGGCAACTCGAAGAATTTCTTTAAACACTAATGGTAATTGGATCAAATATCCTTCAGAATGGAATTTTTTATTCGATGTTTCATTATTATTGGCATTACATTTGAATACTACTTTTTTCGGCTTAAAATAATAATTTCGTTTTTTTAACTCCATGATAAATTTATATTCACTGATTATTTGAGACAAATCAAATTCAAATTTTTGTAATTCACATGAGGAGAATTTCTATCTTATATTCGACTCGTGAATGTGGCTATTGATAAATTCATGCAATGGAGGAAATAGACTGTTTATAATTAGATCATTGCATTTCTTTATAATATCTTCTGCTTGAGAACGGGTTAATTTTGTTGTTATCAGATGTATTTTGATGTCTATGTTTACTACAGCTAGGTTGTGACACATCACTATAAGGATCATCATTTTCATTATTCTTCATAATTTCAATCATTTTCACGTCAGGGTTCTCGACTTCGACAATATCAATTCTATTATTATTATTACCAATATTTTGATTACATTTCAATGAATGACTGTAGAATGAATTATAATCGTTATATTTTCGAAAACAGTTGGCTTGTATACAACAATATGCTACATTCAGATTAAATTTATGATTGATTTTGAAGTGTTTTAATAAATATTTCGCTTTAAAAATTTGGTTACACACGGAACAACGAGCTTCCATGATTGAAGATGTTAATAATAACAATAATTTATATATTATTAATCACAACTGCCACTGCAAATAAGTTAATATGAAAAATCTATAATATATAATACTTCATATAATAATAGTATTTGGGCAAATGTATTTCAATATAAAAAATCAAGTAGACAATTTGAATCGGTGAACGGTGAGAAATTATAATTATGAATAAAGCAAAATTAAAGATGATGTCGGCGGCCTCGACCATTGCTGATACTGGCTCAGCCGACATAATATTGGGAGAACGTGATTGTTTGATACTACATATCCCGTAAAATGTTGCGTAGTAAACATACTTACATTCAGTTCCCTTATATTTATTTACTTGAATCATATTCTTAATTTTGCCCGGATTATTTGGACCTGCATGCACACCAATCACGTATACTATTTCATTGATAATAATTACGCAATTCTCCATTTTTGTTTTCATTCATGCAATTAATTGTTAATCAATAATATCAATATTGAAACAAATTTAGGCTGATATTCCATATGTATAACATTAAACTCCAACCGTAATTAAATATGTTTGTAATGAAATATCATAATTAGGTTTCTTTCAATGAGAAATATGTCCTTGGAATAATATCTTTTCTGACATCAAAATACGATTATAATGAACTTTAAATTCGAAAGTAGACGATAATGTTATTGAATTTTCATACACTTACTACAATAACAATACATAAAAAAATTTATTAGTTTTTTATGATTTATAAACAGTTTGAAATTTCAATATTAATTATAATATAATTAAAAATAATTTCAAATAAAAATTCTTTTGCCATTAGCGTGATGTTGTGTATCTTATGAAGCAAATTTTACAAATGAAATAGTTTGAGTTCAGTTTGGTCGAAATACAAAAAATTTTGTCGCAATGAATTGACAAAAAATAATTAACTTTTAATATAAATATTATTATTTTAAAAAGAACTGTCTGGTTTTTGGGAAAATCCTAGATATGTATTTGTTAAAAGAATTAAAAACAGTTTTATACCATGTTAACGGGGATAAAAAAATATCACGTGCAACGGATTAGGCGATGGTTATAACATGACATGTTGATATTATCAACTTTTTATTCCAAAATAGTATGGAAAATTTTTATTGTCTTTTACGAATACAACATTCATCACATGAAAAGTTGTACCTACTGGTATCTTATGAGTGAAGGGTAGGATCCGAAAAAGCCTGTTCACACATAAAAAAGGTTCTACTTCAATCACTCTTCCGACGTCAAGTATATAAAAAATACTTCAGTTTCTAATGATATCAAAGATTATTTACTTGAATGAATGTGAGTAATAGATGATTTTTATAAATTTATAGTACCTTTAATTATCACAAGATTTCTCTTTCGTGATCGCCAATTGTAAAATTTTAGAACGAATACATTCTATAACTCATATATACATTATAATATTTGACCGAAAAAAGTAATGAATTTAATAATGATATTTGTAAATATAATAACATTGCACACTAGTAATCTCGCGTCAACTAACAAAGTTTCGACTGTCTTCAATTTAACATAATTAAATAAAATTTAGACACGTTGTCCCGACTTTACCAAGTTTACGGTGGAAGATACGTCCCAAATGAGAACGAGGTGGAGATAGTACCTCCTTCTACTGTTTAACAATACGTTCCGATTACGTGAACTCAGAAGAATGATGATATGAGAAGTAAATTACGGTTGAAAAAAATTATTATCTATATTCATCGACTAATGAGAATTAATTTTTATTATCATCGATTAACGTAAAAAAAGCATCACAGAGCATACACCCGACTGATATTTCTTTTATTCTTTTGCTTTATTAACAATTATTACTTATTTTATATTTGTAATTGTTCTTGTTCATTATTTTATTATCTATGACAAATGTATGCCATATGTCTTCAGAAATATTCTAACATTTAAGAACTTGACAAGATAAGTTTACAATGTTGATTATCATTAAAAAAAGTGCAAACATAATAATATGATTGACGATCAGGAACGTAATTTTTAAAAATAACACGGAGTAAAATTTGATTTTTTATATACATTACTTTCCTCAATATAATATATTTCGCTAATTTAAAATGATTATATCTATGATTATATCGATTTGTTATATTGACGAAAAAAGTGAAATCCGATAATGAAAAAATAAGCTAATCATACATATATGTTCTGACCTCAAGTCGGCCGGACGAGCAAACTAAAAACTAGTGGACTGTAATAAATAAGAGCAGAATAACGAAACAGGTTGGATGCTAAAAGGTTCCTTAAAAATGGTTCATTTACACCAAATTGTATGGGTTTCATAGATTTTATTAATCAATAAAACTTAACTTAAACAATAGAAATTAATGATCACTGAGTTTATGTGAGTTGACTGTACATTCATTGTTCATACACTTTTGAATTGTCTGATGGTTGTTTTTTTTCTCACCAAAAAAAGTCTCAAACAGTGAATAGCAACAGGCACACTATACACCTGAGTTGTTCGAGTGTGTGATGGATGTGTGACTGTCCGTGAGGCACTATGGCGTCGACGCCAGTTCAGCTTCGCGCCCAAAGACACTACAACTGAATATACTGGACCACTGGCACTGATGAGAGTAATTTGACGATTCACGTATGTTCGTGAGAGTTGTCTTAGTTTAGTTGACCGTACTTTTTTGTACAAAGAGTGAGCTGACTGCAAAAAATCTGCGATTTGACTGCGAACTATTGTACAGAGATGACCGCGTGATTTGCCTGGAGCTTACTGACGCCGCAAGTGCTCGTTGGCGTCACTAGGGCCGTAGAGTTGCCTTCTGGGCCATGAGGGAAATACTTCCCGATGATTGGTCCAGTGAGTTGACTGACGCGCCGGTGGACAAGTCCGGCATAAACAATTTTTTAATATTTTTCGACTAACTGACTTGGGCCCCTCCAAGTCAGAACATTGTCCCACCATCAGCAACGTCTTTGCTGATCTTCTGCTGGTGGAGTGTATGGTAAGATGACTAGTTCGGTGAGTGGTCTGACGAGTTCTGCTGCTGCTGTCCTGAGTTTGACTGTTCTGATGAGTCCGTCTGATCCTGGGAACACCTCAATCACTCTGGCGAGAGGCCACTTCGTTGGTGGGAACCTCTCGTCAGTGAGTAGTACAAGTGAGCCGACTGTGATGTTGTGAATGGGGTGTTTCCACTTGGAAATGGCGAGTTGCTGGTGAAGGTATTGTTTTGACCACGTTGACCAAAACGATTGGAGTCGCTGCTGAATAAATTGCCACCTGGACAAGCGTGGCATTGGCACATCTTCTAGTGACGGCTCTGGCAATGTTACGAGCGGTTCACCAACCAAGAAGTGTGCTGGAGTCAACGCTGAGATGTCTGTAGAGTCGGCTGAGAGAGGTTCGAGTGGTCTGGAATTGAGGACTGCTTCTATCTGGACAAGCAGTGTGGAAAGCTCTTCATATGTAAAGAGTGAGTCGCCTATAGTTCTGTGAAGATAAAACTTTACAAATTTGACTGCAGCTTCCCATTTTCCTCCCATATGTGGTACAGCTGGTGGATTAAACCTCCACTCAGTTCCATCCTTTGTCAATACAGCTGCGAGTTGACTGGCCTGTTGAGTCCCCTGCTTGAAGAGTTGTCTGATGAGCGTGTCTGCGCCTTGGAATGTGGTGCTACAATCACTGTGGAGAGTTCTGCAGACTTCTCGACGTCCAGTGCACCGTCTGAACACTGCAATGAATGAGTCTGCTGAATAATCTGTTACAATCTCTAAATGCAGTGCAGATGTAACGAAGCACACAAAAATGGACATCCAACCCTTAGATGTTATGGCGCCTCTGCCTTTCCAAGTCTTTAGCGTGATGGGACCAGCGTAATCCACACCACAGACGGCTAATGGTCGGGCTGGAAAGATTCTTGATAACGGCAATTGACCCATTAACTGCTTCGCTCGTTCGCCACGTAAACGAGCACATTTCATACAATGATAAATACAGAATCGTACTGGGAGTCGTCCACCGATGATCCAGTATGATGATCGTATGAGGTTCAGAGTTGCCTGCGTCCCACCGTGCAATGTTCTTTCATGAGCATCTGCAATGATTAGTCTGGAAAGATGAGTTTTCTGTGGTAGGATTGCAGGATGCTTTGCTTCTTGGTCCAAGCTTGCATTTGCTAACCTCCCTCCAACACGTATGACTCCTTGAGTGTCAATAAATGCTGTCAATCGTGCGAGGGGGTATGAGACGGGCAGTGAATTTGAGTTGATCTATTTGATTTCCTGTGAGAAGTACGATTCTTGAGTTGCCTTTATCCAAAAAATCCTTGCTCTCTCTAAATCTCGTGGCGTGAGAGGAAAGGTAAGAGATGACTGAGGTACTCGTCTAAGGAGTTGGCTGAACCTGAAGGAAATTGCAGTCACTCTGAGCAATTTGATTAGACGAGAATGTCTGTATATCATATCCCATTGATAATCATGGTGAATTGTCTGAGTATTTAACGTGATCACGGGTCGCTCTTCTTGCTGAGCTTTTAAATCGTACACTGATGATTGAGTTGGCCATGATGATTCGTTTGCTGTTAACCACTGTGGACCTGTCCACCACAGGGGGTGCTTCCGAAGCTGGGATATGCTGATACCTCGAGAAGCACAATCCGCTGGATTTTGTTTGCCAGGTACAAACCTCCAAACGCTGATAGAAGTGAGATCTTGAATTGCTGACACTCTATTTCTTACAAACTCCTTCCAACGGGATGAATGAGACTGAATCCAGGTCAGAGTTACTGAGGAGTCTGTCCAACATACTATTTGAGTTGGCTGAATGTCTAAGTTGTTCCTTACATAAGTGATCAGTCTGGCAAGCAGCAATGCTGCGGTGAGTTCTAGTCTAGGAATAGACATCTTCTTCAATGGAGCAACCTTCGACTTTGAGCAGACTATAGTTGAACAAGTTCCATGATCTGGATGAGTAGCCCGTATATAAACAACTGTTGCCATAGCTGGTTGTGAGGCGACTGAAAATCCATGAAGTTCCACGGTCGATTTCTGAGTAATCTTTAACCATCGTGGAATTGAGAGGTCTGAAACGTGTGAGAGTTCTGATCTGAAGCTGGTCCACTTGGTGATGATGTGATCTGGGGCTTGGTCATCCCATGAGAGTTTATCTAGCCAGATTTCTTGTAGCAACATCTTTGCTCTGACAATGAAAGGTGCTAAAAATCCAAGTGGATCGTAGAGTTGTGCTGTTTCTGATAAAATTATTCTCTTCGTGAGCTTGGACTTCTCACGAGGAGGTTTTGAGTTGAACTTAAATGAGTCGTTCGCTGGGATCCACGAGAGCGCAAGTAATTTTGTTTTACAGCTCTCAAATGAATGGATCTGCTCTTCTAATGAGTTGTCTGTGATTGACTGAAGGAATTGGATTGAGTTGTTGTGCCATTTCGCCAACGGGAAGTCACCTGCCATGCAGAGTTGTCTGACTTGAGTTGAGATGTCTATCAGTTGACTCACTGTGTCAGCACCTCCAAAAATATCGTCCACATATCTTCCTTTTAATAGTGGATCAACAGCTAGAGGAAATTTTTGACCCTCATCCTTCACTAGCTGGATCATTATGCGAACAGCCAGAAATGGAGCTGATCTGGTACCATACGTGACTGTTGTGAGTTGACATGGGATGATCTTGGAGTGCTCGTCCACCCACAGGATTCTCTGGAGATCCCAATCATCTTGATGGACTTTGATTTGCCTGTACATCTTTGTGATGTCTGATGTAAACACAAATTTATGCTGTCTAATTCAAATGAGTACGTCTGCAATGTCTTTCTGGACTTTGGCACCAGTATGTTGAATATCGTTCACTGACAGACCACTAGAAGATGGACTAGAGCCATTAAATACTACCCGAAGCTTTGTAGTAACACTGTCTTCTCTTAAGACACCATGATGAGGCAAATAATACACTGGAGAGTTGACTGGACTTGCCTTGGCTCGTTTCATGTGGTTCAGTGACTCATATTCTTGCATAAAGTTGTGGTAGAGTTGTGCATATGAGTCATTTTTTGTGAGTCGTCTGATCATGTGTCGTAAACATTGATGGGCTCTCGCTGATGAGTTGCCTAGAAGAGATGGTGATGCTTTCAGCGGTATTCTCACAATGTATCGCCCATCTTGATCTCTTGAATGAGTCGTAACATAATGATCTTCACAAGATTGATCATCTGGGCTGAGTTGGCTGGCTGAAGTATCTGGAACTTCTTCTTGAACCAAGAATTTTGTCAAGAGATCAGATACTTGCTGGTATGAGCTGACCTTTGCTGCGTGATGAGTTCTCGCAGTTGAGCATTTTGTCTGTTGTGGCATTCCAATGAGCATCCATCCAAAGATTGACTCTTGTGCTATTAGAGATGACTGAGGAAATTGTTTAATGCCCGCCTTCACAATCAGACCATAACAATCTGCTCCTATTAAGATATCAATGGGTCTTGGAGTTGAGTAGTCTGGATCAGCAAGTTGAAGAGAGTTGAGAGCTGACCAGTTGATTTCCTTGAGTTGTCTGGTTGGTAAAGTACCAGTGACACATTTGAGGATATGAGCATTAATTGTAACTTGCTCCTGTGTGTGAGTTGATCTAAGTGTCACTGTTGTCACTCCTCTCGTTTGTACAGCTGGTTCGTTACCAATTCCCAGCACTGATATCACTGATGGACGACGTCGGAGATGACAAGTCTTTACCACAATTGATAAGATGAATGTCAGCTCAGACCCTGGGTCTATCAGGAGTCTTACTGGAAGCTGAGAGTAGTCTGAGATTAATACTGCATTGGCTGTGGCGAGTAAGACTGCTGAGCTGTCTGATTGATCTGAAGACTCATTAGTACATGTCTCTTCTACTGCTCTAAGTGCTGTAGAGAATCGTCCATGAATCTCTGAGTTGTCTGTCTTGTTCTTGGTGAGTATTGAATCATGTGAGTCGTCTGAGAGTTGACTAGTGTGAGGTTGACTCTTTTCTTCAGCTGTAGGAGATCGAACGAGACCTTCTGACTCTTCTTCCAGGACCCTCAACCCTCCTGAGGCCGAAACTTCATGGGCTAAGGTCATCCTTTCCGTCGAGTGATCAGAGAAGCATTCTTTACTCCTGTTAGCGCATGTAGATTGACATGATTCATCACCATTGATTGTTGAGTTGTCTGCATGTTGAGTGATCACACCACCACTTGATGAGTTGACTGAAGTATAATCAGAGTTGACTGCAGAGAGTTGACTGTGATGATGAGTTACCTGGTGAGAAGTCTCCGTAGATGAATGAGTGTGATCTGGAGTCAGCTGTGGAAATGGCACGTCATCACCTCACTGCTGGGAGGTTGATGGCTGTTGGACTGGTTGAGTTGGCTGCGGTTCTTGGCCTGGGCCATACCCTCTTTTTCTCAAGGACTCTGTCCTGGGCGAATGGATCATTGAGTGGTGCTTTTAATTGCACGTACTGCACCTCTTCTCTGATTGACACACCTGGATGGAGTGGTTGCCGAAGCAGTTGAAGCACAGCCGTGCTGCGAGGACCAGCTTGTATCGGTCTTGTTGCGAGAGTCCTGCGAATGATTTACAGTCAACCAAATAGTGATCCAAACTGCTGCATTGATCACACGGGTAGTCTGCTTGTCGTTTTTGAGCCCCATGCCTGGAGGCTCGAGTCGTCTGCGATTGAGTTGTCTGCTGGCGTGTGGACTGTTGTTGTGATCTGGACTTTCTGGTGATCACTGGAGTAGGCCACCGTTTTGCTTGACGGGCTGCGTCCTGCGCTGACTCCATCGCACGTGCCCTGGTTGCGATGAACGAGAGTAGACGGTTTAGAGTTGTCGGTGAGCGAGACCTACTTCGCTCGAGTTCCCATGACTCACGTAGCGGTAGTATACCAAGAAGTAGTTTGCTGAGTCGAATGGGACATTGAGTGTCTTCAAGGCATCTAAGTTTTGGCGTACCACGCCTACCAGGTTATCGAGTTGTTCAGCTGACTTTGATGATGGTGTGGTCACACTGAACAAGTCCTTGATGTGGGCGAAGATGAGTTGCTCTGGATCATCATACCTGGACTTGAGTTGATTTCACACTGGTTCGTATTCATCGTCGTTCATCACTGCATGACGGATCAATTGAAGTGGGGGACCTGATACATTGGCTTTAAGGTAATGTAGTTTGGCCACTGGTCTGAGATCTTTTCGATCGTGAACGAGGGATGTAAACATATCCCTGAACTGCGTCCACGTTGATGAGTCGCCTGCGAATGTTGGGAGAGGGATGTCTGGGAGAGTTGCCTGTCTGTAAATGATTGGAGTCGTTTGCTGCGTTGAGGCGTTGTAGTCATCGATGGCCTTCTGGATGTCCTTCTCGTGTAGTTCTGATTTAACACGATGGAGAGTTGACTCAATGTGATAATGAAGCCTTAAAGCACTTTCGTACACTCTATCTGTTATGTACTTGTGCTTGAAAAGCGTCAACCGACATCCTACACCTAATGCCTCATGCTCCACTACAAAGTATGTCCAGAGGTCGTTCAATTGGGATAGCTTAGCCTCGATCATAGATATTGTGACGAGAGCAGGCTGTCGCACAAGGTCAGCCACATCTTGCTGCATGAATTGAAGCTACTTATACCTGGACATTTGGGATGTGAGCTTAAACAGCGTGGTGTTCGCCAGGGCAGGAGGTGATTTCGACCTATCACGTGATGTAGTGGCCTTTTCGGGCACCTTAAGTGTTGTTCCACTGGTACCTTCTGCCTGAGAGTCGACTGGGACTGGTGATGGCGCTTGGCTTACACTCACTTGCTCTAACATCTCACTAATACCTTCAACTGACTCATTGTCTTCGGCTACATCTACGTAGTCGCAAAAATATTTAATTACAAACTAAAAGAAAATAAAAAGGAATTATTATTGATTTTATTGTAACCAATCAAAATTAATTATTCAATTAGAAATGTAAAAAAAGGGATGTTGCTACCTGCTAGCAACAACCGAAAATGTCCTTTGGGTGACACTTTAGTTTTATCAATCAAAATATTAAGACATGCTAATTGTTTATAATAAAAGTTATTTGAATAATTAATTGTGATCATTATTTAATTAAAAGAATACAAATTGGATTTAAAATTATAATTTGGATTTAAATATCAAAAGTAAGTCTTAATATTTATCTTTATTTAAAATTTCAAAGAAAGTGCAATCTCGTTTAAGAAATTATTATTTATATGAATTCAAAATTATAATTTGATTATTAATTTAATAAATTATTAATTGGCTTTTTAATTAATTTGTTAATTAAATAAATATCCTTATTAATTCTATCCCATTTATTTACTTATTAAAACTAAAAGAATATTTAATTATTATTATTAAATCCTAATGCAACAACCTCTTACTCCATCCCAGCTATTGCACTAGGTGTAGGCTAAAAAGGAGTGATCTTTACGACGTCCTTTTAATAAATTATGACATCACATTTTTGGGGGCTCGTCCGGGATACGAGAGGCTTTGTTGTCGGAAAATTAAAATCAGTAAATTCTAAATTTATTTAATTATTCTTGAAATAAACTTTTCAAAATTTTTGATAAATACTAAAAAATTTAATAGATCTGAATCTAATAATAGACCTTTAACTCGAAAACATGCAAAAGATTATCCAGAAGATTTAGTTGAATTAATTACAGATAAAATAGCAATCAAACAAGGAGATAAAAATAAAAATCTTTATGAACCTAAATCAAGAAAACCAATAAGAGAATTATTAAATCAAGAGATTTCACTTTCTTATTCTACATTTGCTGATCATATTTTACATAGTAGTAACACAGATATATTGCCATACGAATTACATAGAACTGAAGTTGCTGAAGAAATATCTGATTCAACAGATACACTTTTAACAAATATTGAAAATTTATTAAGTAGAACAAAAGAAAGTGCAAACGAAGTAATACAACAAATAAATTTTGAAAGCTCTGACGAATCACTATATTCTAGTACAATCCAAGAAGAATCAATAAATTTTTCAATCGTTGATAATAATACGGGTAACATATATAATATCGGTAACAATACTCCAGAAAATTTATTCAGGAACAATTCGGATAATACGAGAAATCAGTCAAGGCCAATATCGATTAATACGTGTAACATGGCACTATCAAATAATCAATATATAACTTTAAAAGAAGCACTTTCAATTATACCAGAATTTGATGGTGAGAATGTTACTTTCACTGAATTTATAAGTTGTTGTAGTGAAGCATTTAATTCTATCCCAAAAGAAGCAGAAACATGTTTAATTAGACTTTTAAAACGTGAATTAACAGGTGATTTAAGAGAATCTTTTATCGGAAGAACAATAACTAATAAGAATAAATTTTATGATCATTTGCGAGGTAACTTTACACCGTCAAAATCGGAAATTGATTTATTAGGAGAATTAGGAAAAATTTATCAGAAAAGAGATGAATCGGTATTAAAATTTTCTAATAGATTAAATAAGATAGGTCAATCGTTGGTTGAACTTTATAGATCATATCATAATAATCAAGAATGTGACGCTTATAAAGAACAAATTGAAACAAAAATTGCAGAAATTTTCTTAAAACGTCTTAGACCAGAAATAAAACAACGTATGTCTAAAAGATCGCAAACGTATCAACAAAATATAAATGAAGCAATTCAGGTAGAAGGTCAATTATCTTTTTGGAATGAATTATGTGAATCTGAGGA